CTTCTCGCAGCCACGAGAGGACAGTGGAGGAATCTGACCAACAATGAAATGAACAGTTAAAAAGCTTCATTTTTGTAAACTCACCCATGAGTTGTGCCAGCAGTGTTGCTGCACAGAGTTCCAGCTTGGGCACGGTGATAGTCTTCAGTGGAGCGACACGGGCCTTCGAACACAACAGGTGCACTTGTACCTTACTATCCTTGGCTGAACGCGTATAAACGCAAGCCCCATAAGCTTCAAGGCTTGCATCGCAAAATGCATGAATTTCTGTAATGGCCCCAGGTTGCAAGACGTAACGAGGAAATGATAGGTGCTGTATGTCTGCAAACCCGCTGCAAAAAGCAGACCAGGCGGTGTTTAACGATTGCGGTAGACTCTCATCCCACTCAAGCTTGTCTCTCCGCATGCGTTGCAGAAGAATCTTCGCCTTGGTCAGCGTAGGGCCCATTAGTCCAAGGGGATCGTAACAGCGAGCTAGAGTAGACAACGCAGAGCGTTTTGAGTTTTTACCGAGTTCTCGTTGTGGCACAAACGAAAATAGCAGCTTGTCCTTGACCGGATCCCAAACTAGTCCCAGAGCTTTGGTGATGTCACTGCCATCGTCAAACTTAAGGAAACGTTCCTTGTCTACGTCAGGTATATCACGAAGGATATCTGGACTATTAGAGCACCACTTGCGTAACTTAAAGTTTCCTCGAGCAAGGAGGCTAGTTGTTTGTAGCTTGATATTCAGTACTTCTTCCATCGAATCGCCTCCAGATATCAAGTCATCTACGTAGAAGTCTCGACGCACTATTTCTGCACCAATGGGATAAGTCGAGGATTCGTCAGCTGCGAGTTGGTGCATGGCACGTATGGCCAGAAATGACGCAGGCTTAGTTCCATAAGTCAGCGTGTCTAACTTATAGATGGCAAAGTTTTCCTGAGGAGATTCACGCCACAATATGCATTGGAGCATGCTATCTGGTGGGGTGACGCGAACACACCTATACATCTTACAGATGTCCCCAGTAAGTGCTATGGGAAAAGTACGAAATCTAATAAGGATATTAAACAGTTTCGGCTGAATAGTTGGGCCTGCCATGAGTAGGTCGTTCAGCGAAAAGCCCGAAGTAGTGGATGCAGAGCCATCAAAAACCACTCTCAGCTTTGTTGTGCTACTGTCATCCTTGATGACGCAATGATGCGGCAGAAAATACTTGCATTGTTGAAAAACCTCATTGGTAACTAGCGACATGTGATTAAGGTCCAGATATTCCTTTATGAACTTACTATATTCTGTTTTAAGCTCAGGGTTACGAGCGAATTTTCGTTCAAGACTTTCGAAGCGTTGACGAGCTTGCAAATAGGAGTCTCCAAGGGCCTCCACACCACGCTTCATGGGAAGACGAACTGAGTATTCGCCTGATGACAATCGCAAATAATTTTCCCGGAAGTGGGCTTCGCAGTCGATATCTTCTTGGGAGGCCTTAGAGATCGGCTCGAAGTTGTGCTCTATTTCCCAGAACTGACGCACTAAATCTTCCAACCGAGTGGAAATAATATCACTGGAGGACTTCCGTCGCACCACAAAAGATGATAGTTTTGGAGCTTGTTGTCCCCCTCCAGATAGCACCCAACCGAGGCGTGTTTTCTGAAGGAGTGGTAAACCACTCAGCGTATCTGCCCCACACATAGCAGATCGAAGAACAATGCTGCTCCAATGAGCAGATCAATTCGCTGCGGTAAGTTGAACCCAGGATCAGCTAGTTGTATATTCGACGGAACATTCCACTCGTTGGTGCTCACGGAGCAGCCAGGCTGGTTGTCGGTTATGGTTTGCACAACAACAGCTGTTATGTTTGTTGAGAAATCTGAAGTCCGCGACTTCAGTACTAGGTCGACTGAGTAACCCTCCGTTGAGAAATTGGCATCTCCAATGCCAGATACTGTAGCAGAAGATTTTGCTTTTACAAGCTGCAATTGGTTTGCAAGGCGAGTTGTGACAAAGTGTAACTGGGAGCCAGAATCTAAAAGCGCCCTGCAAGGCACGAAGCTTCCAGCACGATTTTTTACCAGAACGACGGCAGTAGCTAGGAACACAGCATTAGAAGGAGATACTGGGGCACTAGGCGACACAGATAACGATGCAGTCATAGCGTTGGATTGAACTGTAGCTGCCGACGAAGCTTCGGCTTGACTATTGATTAACGATGCAGTTGAGCGTTCGAAATGCAAGAGCGTGTGGTGTTTCGACTGACAGGCGCGGCACGATCCGGATTTGCAGTCACGAATTTGATGCCCAGTCTTTAGGCAGTTAAGGCAAAGGGAAAGCTTCTTAACTTCCCTCAGGCGTAAGTTCGGAGACAAATTTGCGAAGCGTTGACAGCTATAAATTGCATGCTCGGCAGATCCACAAAACACACAAACACCTTTTGAGCCGTTGAAAGCAACAAAGGATTTCCTCTGACCAGTACTCACGTTCTTGTTAGCTTTTACCGCCTGACCAGTCGGTGTCTGCATAGAATGCTCAACGTTCTCGAGTGTTCTGCAGCGCTTCTCCAAGAACATAGCTAATTGATCCCAGGATGGCAGTTCGCTGATCGATGAACTCTCCTCCCATTTAGCTTGCGTCTTTTTGTCGAGTTTCTGGATCAGCGTAAAAGATCTAATGCAGTGTTATAATTAGCGTCGTTTATTTCCAGCGAGCGCACGGTGTCAAGGGCAGCGCCGCTCAGACAGGAACGAAGATGCTGCAATTTGTCGATGTTGGTGAGGTCGCTGTCCTTGTCGATTATTGACGTGAACATTGAATAGAAATTTGTCCACTCGGTGTAGGCGCCACTGAATTTAGGCAGTGTCAGCAATGGCAAGCGTGAGCTATTAGCGTTCACAATGATTGATTGGGTCTCACTGGAGTTCATTCTGAGCGTGGAGCAATGTTGCGAGGCACTACGTTTACCAATCTCGCGTTGCAGTGTAGCTCTAAGGTTGATTAGAGCAGCATCGAAGTTACTTGGCAGGTCGCTGGCAATGGAGTCGAAGTCCAATTCCTCTAGGCTTGTGTGTGCGGCAGAAAAACTGGATTTCAATTCGCCTAAGGATTCTAGCATTGCTGAAAGACTGTACTCATCCATACTGTGTAGCTTGTCTGCGTCCAACTCGTTAATCAAGCTCTCCAGTCTGCTGAATATGGCCTTTGTTTTCAGCTTTAGAAAGGCTACTCGATCTGCACCTTCCCCTGGCATGACGAAGTTGCTGACGTTTACACTAGTGTGGCAGAATTATCTCAGTAAGCGGCCGGAAACAAACGAAAAATCGCGTGATACGATCACGTCGGGGTCACCAAATGTTGAGCTACTAAGCCTTTTTAGCAGCTATTAAAATAAAACAAACGATGTATGCATAAGTTAAGCAACTGTATTTAACATGATTTGGTCCGCGACTAACTAACAGAAAGTTCACCTTGAACTATTTAAGTATGTCCTAATTACATTGGATAACTGCAAATTCATCACCAACAATAGAAAACCAGTATTCTTAAATGCATGAGAATTTACATATATATATTTATGCACGTATGCACCCGCGCACACAATATTGCTTACATACATATGTACTATTTTTCGCTTGCTTGCATACGAATGTATCCAACTGAGCGCGGGCGGTACGTATGCATATACATATATGTATGTATGTATATACGTATGCTTTATACATAGTATAAAGGGGAAACAAAATTAGCACAGTTTAAATACATACAAGTAAATATGCAGCTCAATTGAGTATGAAAATTTCAGTGTGATCAGATAACGTTATTCATATTGATTTTGATAAACATATTTTATGTTGCTGGCTTATCCGCTGCTGCTCCGAACATCCTGCCCCCCGTTGAAAGATCAGGGCTTTCAACAGAATCCTTCACCGGGAGGACACACAGCTTGTTCACGGCTCGTCGCGTTATGCCGCTAGATGTTTTTAAAAGTGCCACACGTACGACACCGTCTGCTCCAGGAACAACTTCGATTACCCGTGCTAGAGGCCACTTCAGTGGTGGTGAGTTTTCTTCCTTTATGCATACGACATCATTGACTTGAATGTTGGCATGAGGTAAACGCCACTTTGCGCGTTGCTGTAGAAGAGTTAGATACTCTTGAGTCCACCGCTTCCAAAAAACCTGTTTAATGTATGTTGCACGCTGCCATCGATCAAGTCGGTCGTAGTTTAGCGTCGTTAGATCCGGTTCCGGAAGAGCTGTCAGAGAACCACCAATCAAGAAATGGCCTGGCGTTAGCACATCTAAATCCTCTGGGTTTTCTGAAAGGGGTACGAGAGGACGAGAGTTAATTACAGCACAGATTTGACATACCAAAGTACGCAATTCATCGAAGCCAAGCAGTGATGAGCCAACGAAACGATAGAAATGTTGTTTGGCTGTTTTTACGGCCGCTTCCCACAAACCGCCAAAGTGCGGAGAGCGAGGTGGGATGAAACGCCAATCAAAGCCATTACTGAGGCAAAAGTTGGGGACTTCGCTGCGGTGTTTCTCGCTGAGGGCTAAGTTCCGTAGTTCTTTAAGCTCGTTCTTGGCGCCTACAAAATTCGTCGCATTGTCAGACCAGATGCAGCTGGGTATGCCACGCATAGCGATGAATCGTTTTAGCGCGTCAATGAAAGCACCTGTTGAGAGGTCTCTTACCAACTCCATCCATACAGCTTTTGTGGCGAAGCAAATGAAAACGCTTACATAACATTTGTGGGGCGATTTATTGCGTACTTCAGGCTTGTAATAAAATGGCCCACAGTAGTCCACACCGGTGACTATGAATGGGCGCGAGGCCTGAATTCGCTCTTTAGGCAGGTCGGCCATTATGTGCTCGACAAGGCGCAGTCTCGATTTGCAGCAAATAATGCATTTTTGTAGGACTCGAGTGACTGTTTTCCGACCACCTATGGGCCAAAACTGCATTCGAATGAAGGCGAGTAAAGCTTGAGGACCTGCGTGATGTTGTTTGCGATGAAAAAAAGGTTATTATACTAAATGTCAGTGGATGATCCTTCGGAATAATGCATGGGTGGCGCGATTCAAAACTAAGCATAGAGTTTTTTAATCGCCCGCCGACTCTAATAATTCCAAAGTCATCAAGAAATGGTGATAGCGAAACAATGCTGCTCGAACTCGGGACGCAATTATTGGCCTGTAATGCCGTGTACTCCGGCCAAAGTTGCGCTATTTGTACTAAGCGAATAAGCAGTTGAGTTCCATGGTGAATATCTGCGGCTGTGAGCTGCGAAGAGCTTGGCGATGTTGTAATATTGACAAATTTGCTGACGTACCCAAAAATGCGCTGCATTGTTCCAAATGAATTAATGTACTTGAACGAAAGCGAAATGTCATTGCGGTTATGTGCGGCAAGCAACACCTTTTGTCGAAGTTCTGGAAGTTTTGGTTGTGGTAGACACATGCGCGGCCAGCTGCCCTCCACTTCTCGCAAAAATGACGGGCCGTGCATCCAAAGTGAAGATCCTAGAAGTTTCTGCGGGGTAGCTCCTTTGGATAAAATGTCCGCCGGATTCATTGCTGTCGGAACATAGTGCCACCGCATGCCCTCCGTTAATTGATGTATGGTGGAAATTCGGTTAGCGACAAATACGTTAAATTTCGATGGTCCTTCTCGCAGCCACGAGAGGACAGTGGAGGAATCTGACCAACAATGAAATGAACAGTTAAAAAGCTTCATTTTTGTAAACTCACCCATGAGTTGTGCCAGCAGTGTTGCTGCACAGAGTTCCAGCTTGGGCACGGTGATAGTCTTCAGTGGAGCGACACGGGCCTTCGAACACAACAGGTGCACTTGTACCTTACTATCCTTGGCTGAACGCGTATAAACGCAAGCCCCATAAGCTTCAAGGCTTGCATCGCAAAATGCATGAATTTCTGTAATGGC